TTTTTGAAAGTGATAGTCGCATCTATCGGCCTAGAGAATTGAAAGTCTTATAAAAGAAAATGCGAATACAGGCCATTTTCTTCATATTGGGAAGCTAACTTTCGGTATCCAACAGAACAGCATTTTTAGTTATAAGAATTTTTAAAAATCCATTCTTTCTTTCTTTTCTATTTATGTGCCGTCATTTCAGGACGTAGGAAATCATGGCCCTCTACCACCCTCTATCCCTTGCAGCTCTCAACAAGTTCTTTCTCTCTGCTTCCTCCTCCAGACCAAATTCTGTCATCCACTTGATTAAGTCCGCCAGGTAAGTCACGCGTTTTCCTTTGTCTTCCTTTCTTTCTATTCTCCAAGCCTTCCTTCCTCATTATGTGTCCCAGAAACTTCAACTGCCTCTTCCTAAATTACACACACTCTTCCCCACCAACCAATGCGTTGCAGGAAACCAACATTATATATAAATTTGTATGTCCACTGGTAGATTGTATCTCCAACAGGGGAAAAGCATATTTATGTTGGCCATACTACTACCACGTTGTCTCGGCGGTTGAGTTTTCATTTGAATCGCATGACTAACAACTCTAAACATTTGCAACAACAAGCTTGTCAACATTTGCAATTTAGAAAACTTCTTGTCGAAAATGCATCCATGAAAATAATAAACATATACAAAAATTCCTTGAAGCCATCTGTATTAAAAAATTGAAACCAAACCATAACAAAATGTATTAGGAATACTGCAAACATGTTCTAAAATATTTATAATAGTTAGACTAAAATAGTAACGTCAATGGTAATAGACTCATACTATTTTCTTCGGTTTTGCTTTAAAAAAAGATCTCTTCACACATCAGAATTAGTTCGACATACACCGCATGGCAGAAGACCTAACGGTCAGAACTCCAAAAGTAAAATTATAACTTTCTGATGAAAATAGCAAGTGAATACTACATTATTGTCTTAAAAACACACCGTGAGGATGATATTGTGTTAATGTCGTAAGTACTCGGGATAAAACACTATGTATCAAAACGGTAATTTTCATGCTTCTTTTAATAGCGACAACAGAAAGCTCATCCGAGAATATAAAAGAATGTTGTCTTAATTGATATATATATATATATATATATATATATATATATATATATATATATATATATATATATATATGTGGCACCATGCATCCAGGCAGAGAAAAAAGGCAAAAAAGGGAAAAGGAAAGAAAAGAAGAAAGGAAGGGAAAAAGTAATGCGAGACGGATCATAGGGATAAACGAACACACACGCACGGCTTGAGAGGCAATAAAAAAAGGGTTATTTTGGATAAGTGGCAAATGGCGCAAGAGTGTCATTACAATGACAATGAGATTGAGTGGGTAGGGAAGTGTTATCTAAGGATATGAAAACAAACTATTGGTACAAGAAGGCATCTTATTATCAAAACACAGACCACCGGCCAAGGGAAAAATTCAAGCGAAAATGTTATTTCGATAAGTGACGACAAGAAACAGGCGACTAAAAAAAGACTTTGGACAGATATGAAAATTAAAGGCCACCTGCGAGCAATCATTGACCGATTTTCCTACTTGGCCTGCGCGAATGGAATTGTGTTATCAAGAAATGTTCGCCAAAGAAAGTCCACTTGATAACGTTAGATTTTGATAATTGACAAAACACAGGTGTAGCTACGGAGCCTTAGCTAGATATGGAAAATTTAAAATCCCACACAAGCAGTCTCGCTAACTAAACTCTTTTCGACAAAACAAACTTTTGCCCTGCGATAATAAAATTTTGTTATCAGACACATGAACCGAAGGAAAATGAATGGAATAAGAAATGTTTTTATTTCTTTCTTGGAGACGTCAGACCGACTGAAAACTTGGAGAAAATTCTTTTCTGAGGCCATGTCGGAAAACCAGCCATCTGATGAATTAGCGATAAACTGCTTGACAAACGCCACGTGTTGAACAAAGAGTTGTCAAATTGTCCGTTCATGATAACGGCGATTTGAAGGGAAGAGAAAAAAAAGGAAAGAGAAGAGATAATTAATTTTTTAGTTAAGCAAGGTATTTTTTTCCGAAACAAAGCCGCGGGTTGTTCACGCCCGACTAAGACGTCATTGGTCAAGTGGTGATCACATGACGCACGAAGGAGGAGGAAGATACCCGACCAAGACTTCATTGGCCGAGAGTGATCACGTGACGCACGAAGAAGGCTGTCGACGCCCCCATCCAGAGTATAAGTATGAAAGCCGCTACGAAGAAGTGGGGAGGGACGTTCACGCCCTCAGAAGCATGGTGAGAAAGGGAGTGAAAAAAAAAGTTACCAAAAATGGAAAAGAGTGGAAAATCCCTAACCAGAAATAAAAGAGGTGGATATGTATTTAGAATTATCGAGGAACTCCCCGACGCCAACAGAGCCAACCCGGTTTTTGTTGGCGTCAATAAAAGCCAGGCCCCAACAGGCAGAAATCAGTTCGCGCCCTGACGGCAGAGATGAGTGTCCAGTAGTTCGAGCCCTGACGGCAGAGATGGGTGTCCAGTAGTTCGAGCCCTGGCGGCAGAGATGAGTGTCCAGTAGTTTGAGCCCTGACGGCAGAGATGAGTGTCCAGAGAGTTCGAGCTCCAGTTTCCAGAGTTGAAGCCGCCTCAAGATAGCTGACCAAGATTCACGCAAAATTTTGGACTCCTCTTCAACCAAGAACAATTATTTTGAAGAGCGACTTAGGACCAGACCACCGAAATAATTTTTTCGACTTTCGTCCAGAGACACACCGAAATACCAATTTCTTAGAGAGCAAACAACTTGAAGCGTTAAAACTTGCCTAGCGAAAACGACGTGTCACAATCTACAGAACGGGTCGGGAGATAGATGCAGACCTATGTATTGAACAACTAGACATAAAGTTTGTTACCTTTTTCTTTGATACTTTGAACTTTTTGAGTTTTCATTTTATTTTATTTTATGCATATTTGTGTGGTATCACCCCCGTTGAACTCAGTTTGCATTACGGCCACGACTACTGATTGATCTCGTCTGCCTAAGATCAATTCATAACGTGGGTGGGCAGACTGGAGATCAATGCAGTTACCTTGGTAACCAGGCGTTGGAAGCGAGTTGGGAACGGCGAGGCTGATATCAAATCTAACCAGATTTCCACCCGAATTACCAAAAGGTTAGAACGTCACATTTGGGTGCCGCGACCGATACCAAGCCAGTTGGTCGTCACAGTACGAGACAACACGACTGACGCGACAGGCGAAGGTCACGTTTGGAGCAGCGACACCCGGACGGAGCAGCGAGGAGCGAACAGCTTGCGCCGCGGCGAAGACGTCACAATTGGTGCTGTTTGGGACGTCACAACTGGTGTCGTGACCGGGATAGGACCCTGAACGGCCACGTCACAACTGGCGCCGTGGTAGATCAGGATAGAACGTCACAGGTGGCGCTGCGACCGGGGACGACGTCATATATATATATATATATATATATATATATATATATATATATATATATATATATATATATATATATATATATATATATAAGTAAGAAAGAAAGAAAGAACAGTAAGATATTTAATCCGGTGTTCTCATTGATATTTTTTTTTTTAAAATAGTGCTCTATGTAAATTTACAGAGCATTAATATTATAAATTAACTAGTTTATAATATGTTTTTTTTCGCTACACAAAAATAACCATGTTTCAAAAAAGGAAGCTAAAAGCTTCAAATTTAATTTTGTAATTAAATTAAAAACATTAGTTCCATTTATTAGTTAGGTTCGAAAAAGGGGTTATATTCAGGTAGGGACAGGGAAGTATTTTTCAACGAATTCTGACATCCGTTAAATGCATGTCGACTGGGTTTTTTTTTTAATTTTATTATTAACGGCAAAAAAATTCTTACGGCATTTTTTCTATTTGTATACTTAAAGATTTTTGGGGGATGTTTAGGTTAGAATACGTTTTTATTTAACTACAATTTTAAAATATTTTTATTTTTTAATTTTTAATAGACTAAACTAGATAATTTATAATATATATATATATATATATATATATATATATATATATATATATATATATATATAATCTGTTTATTGAATTTGCCTTGTGTTCGAACAAGTGTTTCCTTTTCTAGATACAGAGTGTGTAGAAAGTGTCCACATATTCTGTAATTTCTGAGCGCTTTCGGCTATACATTTAGCCACTGTAAAAGTATGATGTATATATCTAGGGTTATAGGTATGTTTTAGATTATTTTTCTATCACAGAATATTGTTGCCGCGTTCATAGTGAATTATTATTTTATTACAATAGTTTCCATTATTTAAAAAAAAAATTACATGTGAATGAAGTTATTATGCTTGTATTTTCTATTACTATGTTTCGGATGGAGTTTATTAGGTTTGTGTGTGTGTGTATTTAAATAAGATCTTATGGAGCTGAGATAGTATAGGTGTAACGTATGTAATAGTGTGATCAATGTAATTATTTAAGTAAGTATCAGTTTGATCAGGAACACAGTTATTAAGGGACATTTGAGTTCAAATGCCACTTAGGTTAAGCTCCCACACACATCAATATATATATATATATATATATATATATATATATATATACAGAGAGAGAGAGGGGGGCATATGGATATAGATATATATAGATATGCACATTTCGTTGAATACGACAGACAGCGTGCATTTATTTAGTTTTGATGTAGATGTTTATACAATTTTGCATGCGATCTTATATTTTTTATTTTTCGGGGATAAATTATATAAAAACTGTTAACAGTTAATATATTTCAACCTTGAAAATGGCTAAATGTATAGCCGAAAGCGCTCGGAAAGAAAGAACAAAAAGCACTTTGTCGTATTCAATGAAATATGCATGAAAAAGAATGACTGCCGCCTAAATACACTAATATATATATATATATATATATATATATATATATATATATATATATATATATATACTGATATGAACAGTATTGATAGCTAGATAGATAGATATGAAAAGACTGAACTACAGATATTGATATGAAGAGAAAGTGACAGATAGATAGATAGATAGATAGATAGATAGATAGATAGATAATGAACAGACTTAACTACAGATAGTGATATAAAGGGAAACTGATAGATAGATAGATAGATAGATAGATAATGAACAGACTTAACTACAGATAGCGATATAAAGGGAAACTGATAGATAGATAGATAGATAGATAGATAGATAGATAGATAATGAACAGACTTAACTACAGATAGTGATATAAAGGGAAACTGATAGATAGATAGATAGATAGATAGATAGATAGATAAGGAACAGACTTAACTACAGATAGTGATATGAAGAGAAACTGATAGATAGATAGATAGATAGATATGAACATACTGAACTACAGATACTGATATGATAGAAACTGATAGATAGATAGATAGATAGATAGATAGATAATGAACAGACTTAACTACAGATAGTGATATGAAGAGAAACTGATAGATAGATAGATAGATAGATAGATAGATAGATAATGAACAGACTTAACTGAACTGACAGATAAACTGTGATATGAAGATAGAATTAACTGATAGATAGATGATAGATAGATAGATAGATAGATAGATAGATAATGAACAGACTTAACTACAGATAGTGATATAAAGAGAAACTGATAGATAGATAGATAGATAGATAGATAGATATGAACATACTGAACTACAGATAATGATATGAATAGAAACTGATAGATATATAGATAGATAGATAGATAGATAGATAGATAGATATGAACATACTGAACTACAGATAGTGATATGATAGAAACTGATAGATAGATAGATAGATAGATAGATAGATAGATAGATAGATATGAGTAGAAAGATAATACAGATAGATAAAGACGAAATTACATAGAAAAAATATTACAGAAATGAATATATAGAATATTGGACAATCAACAGCTAAAAAGAAGGAGAAAAAAGAAAGAAAAAGGTACGAATTAAAAAAGGAAGGATTAAACTGAAGCAATACAGAAATAACAACGACATAGAAGGGACAAAACAACCAAAATATATGCAAATGAAAGCAAACGAAGCTTACATATGTATAATGAAAGGAAATAGAATAGGATTCATATGTAAAATTAGGCAAAATATTTGAAGACAGATGTAACAGAATTGCAAAGGGTGTTCCAATAATTTGGACCGCCGACTTTAAATGTGAGTTAAGTTTAGGCGTCTAATGATTTTTTCTTTTTCTTTCAGATTTGGTGAACATTTGTCTATATTATATTTTACGCATAATTGACATGATTTAAATAACATGATCTAACAGAGAAATAAATACATTTTCACAAATAAAACAGATTCATTTATTGCTAGGATCCGTCTTAATGAAACACCCTTATAAATAACCCGTCTTAATGAAATACCCTATATAAGATAGAATAGATATATATGAGTAGATTTAGAGTGATTTAAACACCGATATCAACAGAAAGCAAAAGATATTATCAATTTGCGAAATACAAAATGGCGGACAGCTTCTAATTGACGGCGTTGATAGGGAATTTGCTGTAAAAAGTTGGCGGATTTAAGAGAAAAAGGCGAAAGCAATAAAGATGAAAATATGAACTTCTTCACCTTCATCATTATTATCATGGCAATCAATTACACTCTTAATAACAATAATCCTTCTAATAATGATGAAAGTGATAAAGCTATAAAATAATCATACCAATGGCGAAAACGGCTTGAGCGAGGTAAGGTTTAAGGTACAAAGTACACAAAGAAAACAAGTAAAATGAAAGAAAAGCACGCCACTTCTGTTCTCTGATTTAGACCAGAGAAGATTAGATATATATATATATATATATATATCTCCTCATATATTTGAAGAAATGTAGTCATAGACTTACTGAAGTGGGTGTCACAAAAACGGATTGGGGTGGCTGAAACAAGAAAAATGTTTAATCGAAGATATTTTGAAGGGAATCTAAAAACAAGACAAATTTAAACTGAATATGAAACCATGCAAAACAAATGATCAGGGCAGATTCCATTAATTACTTGTAGCAAATTGGCAAGGAATTCAATAATAAATTCACTTAAAACATAATACTGATATTTGTCTATATTTCTGAGATGAGGTATTACGTACATTATTTACATTATTCGGACTATTGTCCTCAACTTTGTCGCCATATGTCACAGTGGATAAAGGCATTGGTTAGATCCAGTGACAGGACCCAGAGCAGTGTGATTTCAATACCCGGTTAAGGCAGTGGAGAACTTTCAGTGTGAAATTAACAGGAGATAACTGCTAACTGACATCCATTAAACATGGCACGTGGAACTAAAACAATCTACACCAGTGAGCGAAATAAAGGGTTATGTTCGACATTTCAACCACCTGAGCGTACAACGGCCGAAACGTTGTAATATTTATGGCGACAAATATGAGGACAATAGTCCAAATAATGTGATATTTATTTTTTTAATTCTTTTGGCAAATTCAGGTTTTTGAAGTTGTCAGATTATTTTCCCATATCGTATTTGTTTCTATTCTAGGCCTACTAATGAGATCCACATGACCTAACATTTCTACTTAGTTTTTCGGATGTTTGAGTCTACCTCCCGAGAGTTGTGTCCCATTCTGCCCAGTCTATTCAATTCATGCAACACGGATTGATGACTATACATATCCATTGGTAAATGATCAGCCATGATTTCATTGTCTCTTTCGTAATTACAGCTTTAAATTAATAGTTTATACTTTACTAATCTTTCGAGGTTTTGGATTTCTATGCCGCATTTTCTGTTGTATTTTAATGCATTTATTTCTAGATATTTTTGATTTTAACATCTCCGATACGTAACGCACAGGCTGGACTCTCTCTTGCTTACAACTATTCTTAAGTTTAATAATTAATCTTTTCTTTTTACTTTCAGTTACTACCTTTTCTAAGAGATCTTTTCATTTTTTGGATAGTAGGTCTATGCTACGGTATTAATATATAAATATTGCAAAAAATATATTAATTTTTTTAAAGAAAGTACAATAATCGTTTTTGGTGTCTGAGAGTACTCGCTTTAATCCGGTTTTGAAAAAGACAAGAATTTTAATTGTTTTTTTCTCTTATTAACAGTTTTTTAATTCCTTTTTATATATTAAAAAAATAGTTTGCTGTATGTTCCTTCCATTTTATCAGATCATTGAAAAATTTCGTGCCGAAACAATTTTCATTGTTAATATAAAATATAAAATGACTTCACTTTGATAATGGCAGTTGTTTTATTGCAGATTTCTTATGTGTTCTAGATTGAAATCGTTTATGGCTTTATAAATTTTGAAAAAGAATAAACGACACGACAGAAAGAAGAGGAAGAGGAGAAGAAAAAGATTAAGAAGATGAAGAAGAAGAAGCACAAGAAGAGGAAGTAAACAAAAAATAAGAGTAAAGACAAGATGAAAAAGGTGTAGAAGAAGAAGAAGAAGAAGAAGAAGAAGAAATTGCATAAAATGTGAAAATGCTTATAAAATATGATAGGGACGAAAGAATGTGAAATAAGAGGGGGAATAATAATAATAATAATAATAATAATAATAATAATAATAATAATAATAAAAAGAAGAGGAAAAAGAAGAAGAAGAAGAAGAAAAAGAAGAAGAATATCCTATATTCTGTGCTAAACCTTGGTATTGTTTGCCGTTTGTTTTCTTTTCATCATGTCGAGAATTTAACCTGCCATGAATTCCTTTTCTTCTTTGGGTTGATCTCGCTTGCTGACGTTATAAGATCATTGCAAAAGTCCGTACCCGTTTTTCATTGTTGATATAAATTGGCCTCACCTTGATACTGGCGTTTGTTTTGGTGCTGATTGCTAGTGTGTTCGAGACTGAAAACTTGCATCGTTCATTTGCTGAATGTTGACGTTTTGTTTTCAAATGCATGCCTTAAAAATGGATGATGAAAAATTGCACTTTCGACATATGTTCTTTGAATTTCGGAAAGAAGTAATCACCGGAACTGCGACAAAAGACATTCGGAATGTTTCCTTGGATCTTTCCCCAGCTCTTCGGACTGTCAAACATGGTTTGGCAGATGTCGTCAGGGTGATTTAAGCCTAAATGATTAACCACGCCCCTGACTGACCTTCCGACGTCGATAAAGACAATTTGCTTGTAATTGTGGAAATTAAACCGAAGATTTCGACGGAAATCTCTTTCAAGTCAGAACAGTTTCTGCTGCTGATTGAAAATTGGTATGTCAACAGACTTTAGCCATTTGAAGCAACTTGGTTTCGTTTCCAAAGTCGAGACGTATTTCTCTGACGAAACAGAACAAGCTCGATCGGGTTTCTGCTGCGATTGCGTTGGTGTTACGCCAAGAAAAAGTTCTTACAATTGTCGATGGAAAATGGATCGCTTATGATAACTTTTGACACTAAAGTTGGCTTGCATCCAGTGAAGGTATTATTGTCTATTTGGTGGAGACAATTCCCTTTACAGAGGGATAATTCGCATTGGACATCTTCCAGCCGACGAAACGATAACCGAAAAGAACTATTGTGACCAACTCACCAATCTCAATATGGCTATTCAAGAAAAACGAACGAATCTGGCAAATTTGAATGTTGTGAGTTTTTCAAACGTATGATTTCATGTTGCAAAACAGACCTTGCAGAAACTTAAAGATCTGAAATGCGGAATCTTCCAGAACCAATCGTACTCTTCTGGCTTGAATTCTTTGTATAGTTATCTGTTTCGATCTCGACAGAAGAATTGAAATGGTATGAAATTGATTCTATAGAGTCAGTCGAAAACCACCTCACATAATTCTTCGAAACAAAACTAAGTTTTTAGAAAAATGGCATATAAATACTTGTAGAATGTTAGGATACAGTTGGAAAAACAACTGAGATTATGTACTTGAATAATAAATGTTATTTTTGTGCGTGTATACGTAAAATTTTGTTTTTAAATTTCTAATTTGGCACGATCATTTGCAACGATCTAATATTCATAGAATCTCCGGAGATAAGAATTTCTCTGTAATTTATCTTCCTTTCTTCATCCTACCATATAAAAGATTAAATATTACTTAGCAATTCAACACTCATGTTTTTATTCAAACGGAATTTTCCTGTCTCTCTATACTTTCCTTAGATTTTGAAAGATATCCTTTATGATTCATATGCGTCGTTATTTACTACACTACCTGGAGAGTTAAATTTCTCTACCTGCTTGCATTTGATGTTCCAGAATCTGTAGTTCTTTTGCTGACAACCATGCATTCAGTCTTAGAGTTGATTTTCTTTCGTTAGTGCTTAAAAAACAAATAATTCAATGAATATCAAAAATGAAGAAGTGGCTATTGTTAAACGTAGACATATTAAATATTCATCAACCGTTTCAGGTGACTATATTTGGAGTACAACTATCATATGACAATTCTACGTGTCCATCCATTCGCACGTTCGTTACGTCCTGCCATTACCTAAAATAAATCGTAGCCTCTTTGATTGTTTTGATTGCGAGGAAAGACGGAAATAATGAAATATCGGCTACTGTCTGGTTTTCGTGAGAAAATAGAAAACATACATTAATGCTAATCAGAAAGAAAGAAAAAAATGAGAGAAACTTCCCCTATTTGATAATTATTAAATTAAAAGGAATTTATATTTAAACAGAAAACGTCGTAATATCACGTTCATAAGATATTAATAAAATTAAATATTTATCAAATTAAATTAAAATATATACAGAGTGTTGCAGCAAAGTCCAAAAAAAAAA